TTACTCAAAGACTACGTATATCAACACATATTATTAGTCGCATTAAATGAAGATTTGAATATTGACAAGACAGTTTGTATTCATAACGTCACGTATGAAAAATGTGTATATCGTAATAACTGTGACGCGGTTGTGCGAACATTCATCATCGTCTCATGGGGAGGAAGAATTATATGTGCACTTAACGGAAAGTGGAATCAGTTTTATAATGAGATTGAAAAACCTAGGTGGAACCTCGAACAGGACAACGTGACCAGACGAGGAGATCCAAGTGAGTGTCAATAAAATGATTGGACGAAAAGACTAGGGTATACAAAGAACTCTCAATACGAAAAGTACCTTCCAAGATCGCTGACAAGTAATAAAATGGCCTCATTAGTATAATCTGTACATCAACATTATTGCTAACAATTTGGTTTCTCTGAATTTCCTCTATTTATACGATTAATTGCTCATTCCTCACATTACCAGTGACCGGTCTTCATTAACCTACAGAAGTACAGGTAAAAAGTTATCCAATGTGTCTTGTGAAATATTTCAGTAACTGAACAACGTTTTACAAAAGTTATGTTAGCAATCTTGACATTTTGATCTTGCCTGCAAATTGGCATGCTTGTATCATGTTATAATTTGAGAATAAATCATTATTATTATTAATAAAGTTACGGCTTATATAAGGACTTTAACAACAGGATTTAGTATCACTAGTAGCAATTCGAACTAGTGTACTACACATTCACTTGATGTGTCCGACTTCATCAAACTTGAAGAATTTATTCCCACGGAGAGGACGTGAATCCCGTGACTGAACGTTACCACAGGACATATACGTAACAAATATGTGACCATAATTAACTAAACGAGATCTTCGGCAACCTTGAGAATGTAATTCATCATGATGAATGAGCAAAGTAATGAAATGTTTTACTGACTAAAAACAAAGCTTATTTATAGTCGCATAATTACAAAATGCCGTTTGAATTTGCTGAAACGAATTTCGACGTTTCTGAATGAACTCCTTTTTCAAATTTGGAATAATAAATTCAGCGACCAAGCAGTTTCAGTGATGGACTTACAGTTTCTTTTTAAGTTGAACTTCACAGCATGACCCTGTAGTTGGAGTACTACGTTTCCAATTTTCTTTCGCACCATCTTATTAAACTGTAATCACTATCGAATTCCGAATCTGGAATTCTAAACTCGATTGAGTAATAATTCCACCACAGTTCCATTTGACATCATAGCCTCTGTGCCTGAAATGCTGGACTCTTCAGGATGCTATATGTATCTTTCCCATTGGGCGTAATGAAAGGAGACTGAGACTGTCATTCTCATTAATTTTACATCTCTCTAAATAACCCCCACATGGTTCTATGTTTGGAGTTAAGGCTAAGTGTTCCATCACAAGCCCCATCGCGACACCATTTCGGTATACAGTCATGGTGGAATAGATATTCTGACTAAGGATTCTCCGAATCGTTCAATTCAAGTCAATTAGAACCTGAAGGACACAACTGACTATATTGTTTTCGATAGATTTTCGTTCTGTTTGCTTCGGTTTCATAATGATGAATGAGATAACTAATTATCCTTCATTGCTGTACTTTCTAATTTGAAGACTTTGTCAGTACAATTTATTTTAATTTTCGTAGCGAGAATGAGTTTTATCTACTGACTTGCCATTATTTTGTCTGCTTCACTATGAAGGGTTGAACAATGTCCTGATTTTACTTCGATTGCCCCAATGCTCCGCTTCCCTCAATCTCTTCCTTCTTTTCTCAGAACCAGATCAGCAGAGTATAACTATGGGGCTTCACCTACTCAACATGCGTCACTGATCACGCTGACGGCTCATACCAAGTGCCTTTAAAACAACACTTTCTAATCAGTTTGAACTTACGCACCTGCCCCATGAAACAAGTCCTGTGCAAGTAAATCTCCATTTACAACATCTCGTGATTCACTCGTGAATTCTGCATACAATGCAAGTACTCTGGTGTGTATCTGAACTATTTGTAACGTTCCGGGAAACTTCATTGCCTTACTCAGGAGTCTACCCTGGCTAACGCCTTCAAAAATAACAATACACCTCATCAATTCGCATCGGCCAGCAGCCAGCCATTGCAAATCAGCTGGTATTACTGGCCTCAACTATTGTATTGCACGTTCCCAAGTATGAAACATTTACACTTTTATGTGAAAAACATTAGCCTTCTAAAGAAACTCAGTATATCATGTAAAATATCCATCAAACTGAACAACTTGTCACTGTGAATACGTCAGCACCTACAAGATTTTGTTCGTGCCAGCAAACTAGCACGTCTAAGTGATACATTGTCATTTGGGAATAAATTTTATCATTGGTATGATTATTAATAAAAATTTCCTGCTGATAAGCCTTCGAACGATAACAGTGCCGAAGTCAATCCACGTGCAGCTTTAAACTATGTAGTTCGTTTTTGAAAATATGGCACAGAAATACGGATCTCTTCCAAAAAGCAATCAGAGCTAGAAGAACAAAAGGTCTGTACAAGGTTAGATGCAATCACTATTATATAAAACCGAAGTCTTTGGACAACTGATGACTCGGTTCGGAAAAATTCAGACTGTAGCCTGAAGGGCGTTCATTAGCTTGTAGTGCCTCCAGATAAATTCGAGTTCGCTTACATCTAACTTGGTTAAGCCCTTTCGATTAATCTATTTAACCAAGCCATTTGTATTGCAACAATTTATATGTACCATTCTTCCTTATTATTGTCTGGTTTGTATGAGATCATATGATGTGTCCCACTTGTCATAGGGCCTTGTCAACTATTAGTCGGTTTTATTCATGTGTGCCTATTTCGCTTGTCACATGTCTGTCTTATATTTGTCTGACTATATATTCTGAGTCATGCTCTATTTCTTTGAGTTGGCTCATTAGCGTTCTTCAGGGCGCTTCGCTTGTTCATCCGATTCCTTCGCCCATTCGTTCGCATTGTAATCCAAGGAGTTGGCTAATTAGCCTTCTCCACATAGCTTCTCCGCTTCGTTTTTTGATGTTTCCCAAATGAACGTATCCATCACTACAAGTTCACCTTCTGATTTATAAACCGTCAGACGCTAGTTAGTAACGATGTTCTATACGAGCTGATTACCGATCTTAAGAACACGCAGTAAATCCGCAAACTACAAGCTCAACTCATCTTCTCAGAAATATTGTTCAATTTATTGTTTAGGAAAATATGTAAAATGAATGCGAACAGTGATAATTGGTGATATACAGCATGAACTACAAGGGACAGGAGATTCTGATTGCTTCACAATACTGCAATACATGCTGAGTAGTGAAGGAAGCCTTTGAAGATAGAGCCAATGATTGGTTCTCTATCGTTCATCGATTATTTGAAGAGACTCCCATACCACAGACCGGATAAACGATGAACTCGGTTGCCATTAAATTCTTTCAAACCCAAACCAGTCGGTGAGATTATATAAATGTTCTCTGGTAGAACAAGTGAAAGAAGCAACTAAATATGATTTCAACGTGAAGTCGTTTGAACTAGATGTTGTACTGACCCATTATAGGGATGATATTACAAACCTTGATCGTATGCCAACTTTTACTCCATATTCTTCTCAAGAATGACTTGTCAGCCCGTACAAAACCCACCGTTTGACAGACTGATATACAAGAAATTGAACAAGATACATTCTTATAGTTTTAGGTTATATGCTATTTATTACAAAGCTGCCATTCAAATCAACTTTGCACTGTTAAGTTTGAGGTACAATGTTAATCGACTCGACAGAAGAGTGCTCCTCCTAATTTATAACAGCTCTAATGGCTCTAGTTTGGACTAAAGAAATTTTTTATTTCCCATCTCACTTCAAAAAGATAAGTATGTATGATGCAAACTGAAGTTTGCACTGAGGAGTAACTGTCTAGGTGGGTTAGATACGTGTCTAGCTCAGTCGAAATCAGAACAAGTGATTTGAGTAAATAACGGTTCTAAACAATATTACCACAACTGTTCCACCAACAATTGTTCATTTGTTCAAGTACACAGCAGATAAATGATATTCTGTCATTCCTGGATACATCAGATTCGTTCAACAAGTGTAAACCGGATCTTCTTCTACGGTATGCCACGAAATCAGCTCAAAGGCTAAAATCTAAACATTGAAAAATCACATCAAACCTTCGAATTATTATTCTTTAGAGTGTATGTGTCCCAGTGATTCCCTAATGACCTATAGCATTCTAACCACTCCTGAGTCCTTATGACGATACTCACATAAACTTAGTCCCATCAATAAACCAAGGTGCGATACTCAGGAATTAGAGGCAAAACATATCGGAATAAGCTGCAGACTCGTTATCCACAAAAAGTTGAATTCTGTCATTCAATAATGCTTTCAGGTCTCAAGTAACTTATCAGGAGACCTTGCATCATAATTTTTGATATACTCATGAAAAGTCAATGCAGATATTTTCATTGAGACTGACTGATACTTCACGTTTGCCAGTCGAAAAACATCATCACCAGGCCCCTACTGGTAATACACAAAACACAGCACATCAAAGAACGAACTCACAGGTACGTCCCCACTTATAGACTAGGAATTGTTTCACAACAGAATGGTTCCTCAGCCGAGATGACAACAGTGAATAGCTGAGAAAATACACTTGATGAACATGTACTCAAATACGGATTGTTATCTCCCACTGAGACCAGCTCTGCCAGATGCACATCTCGAAACTGTCTAGTTGCAGCTAATTGATATGGTATCTATGTGGTATCCAGAAACCCTGCTGCTGTGAGACAAATGGAATCACTGAAATCAAGGAACAGACAAATTCATCGAAGCTGAATAAAGTTAGTGCATTTGAGTGGCCAGGCCGACATTCATTGCATATTACGAAATAACTGGGACTCTACTGAAAGAATAAGAAACGAGTGCAAGGAAATCAATTGACTTAAACTCATATTCGAAAACGATATTGGAGATTGGACTGACGTACGTAATTCGGCGTTAGAAGCGGTAAGTTGGAACATCGCGTTGTAACACATTCGAAGCGTTGCTCTAACAACTTGTTGTTTGTATTCTTTATTTCTGATTGCTGTCTATTGATTTCTGTAATAAATGTTAGTGCATTGTGTGTGATTAGTGAGTTATTGACTCACCTGTTTCTCTTGTGTCTTCCAGATAACCTGACACTGCTACACTGATACCATCAACACACAAGGTACCTACTGGCTAAACGCAAAGTAACCAAAGGCTGAAGTTACAGCGTAGCTTAAAAAAAAATGGTGCTGGACTCTGGGGCCTCTTCGTTCATGTCTTTGCTGTTGTCGCTCGTAATATTCGCAGCTATGCGGCTGTTTTCGGAAACCTTGTCTTCTTCACAACTTTTGACAATCCTTGGAGGATTTCTTGGCAGTTTGATTTTCGTCCTATTGATAACGGTAAGAGTCATTTTGAGTTTGTCAGCTATCATTGTAGTTTGTGAACAATCTCGAAAGGAAACTTTTCGGTGATGAGTTCTGTTGTGGAGTTTTCCCTGAAGGTAATACCGATTGGAATTTGATGTATTTGAAGTGGTCACGTGCATTTTCATTGCTTGTTCATTGTCTGCAACTGTCCATCGAGTATGCTGCACAACGTGGTAAGATTTTGATGATGTGATGTATAATTTCATTTGACTTTAAATCCAGTGCGAATAACAGTTGGTTTTTTGATCAAGCAGCTTATTTAATTCTACTGAACCAGGGTATTTAATATATTATTCTGAGTAGTACGTTGTTAAGACGATCTGCTTATCCTAGATTAGTAGTACTCAATAAGCCAGAAGAGCTCTGCAGACCTACACTGTTCTTTACCATCAGTGCTTGATTGTGTTGGCGGGTGCTGAGGATTCATGTCGAAGAGTTTGGAAATCTTGATTCCAACCCTATGATGCAAGTAGGCTCCAGGATTCGGGCCAAATAAATGTTAATGAACCTATGGTTGGTGACCGTCTACCATGAAGCAGCATCTCCCAGGTACACCCTCGAGTCGTTACGACAACTAATTCAGTTTTATTTTCAGGTTCCTGCTGAGAAAGTATATCTTTGATGTCACTAGGAATCCTTCTGTCTACGATCAAATCCATTCGTCACTTTTTGATGTTCGATCTACACTCGTGGCTAACTTTTCTTTCACTTTATTTCCATACACCACTGATACTAACTACTCCAGTCCACGAGATATTATTCCTCGTCTTTTGTAACTGTGCTCCAATTTACCCATCTATCATCTCATGACTTTCGTGGTAGAGGTATGGCGCCATGTTAAAAGGCGGAACAGGCTCTTTCTGAGATTGGTTTCCAACCGATAACGGCTTGTGATCTGTTCGACTAAATGAGGGAGTAGGGACACGCAGGCAGAGACACTAGTATCTCTGTTCATTTACACTATGAAACGGTCTGGATGAAACAATAAATTTGATGGAAATGTTTTCCTGTTCGTCCACATAAATTAAACTGTCGGATGCACTAGTCACAGTAGGAGACCTAAATACTCAAGGAGATGGTTGAAACAAAAGTAGAAATCAATTACGTGGACCTTGCTGTGTCTCAGCTTGGCAAACAGACAACATCGACCGGCTGATGAAATTACGCTCAAGCAGCTGTTTATTCTTAGCATGCACCAACCTTAAACATGCGGAGACGTTATTTGATATAACTACTCTTATTATTGACTCATCGTTGGATGCAGATAAATCAGATTGTCGTTAGTCATGGTTGAAGACTTGATGGAAGACTTTCACCCATACTGAAGCGCAAAATGTAGAGTATATTTCAAGAACCAGAGAAACCGACATTCGACCGTCACATTGATACTCACCCCGATTTAAGTTTGTATGATGTTGATAACAAGAGGTTCTCTTGAAGACCTATAATACACCGATGAAATAGTTGTTTGGTGAAAACCGTTAAACATGTGTGTGAGGCGTTTCTCTGTACCTAGGTGTAAAACATGGCTGTCGATTAAAGAACGAGTTTATTGCTTAGCAGCTGGGTTTATTCTGCTGTATGGGTACGAAGCATAACCATTGAGAATAGAGAATATTCGTAGGTTGCTAGCGTTCGATCATGCGAATGAGCCAATATGACTCGACTGAATCATCACGACAGTCAGGTCCGACTACAACGACAAGGTAGCAACTACAGTGGAGTCAGTACGTACAGTATTTTGCAATATCGTTCGTATCATTGAATATAATATTTACCATGCTTTACGTACTGATTTGTATGTACTCTCAGTATCACTCGATTGTTTTTTTTGTAGTTTCATATTTTCGCTGGTGATGCTGTATTACTTAAATCGTGTCTCGTATGATATTTATCAAAGTAAGGAACAAGTCATTACAAGCAGCTCATTGAGGAAGAAGAAAGAATGAGAAATGCGAATTAGTTTTCAGCTGGTAGTACTTGTTTCAGGTTAATATTTTTATCCTACAGATATACTTTTGTATTTCGAATGTAAAGTTGCAATATATATTTTGATTTGCTTAAAAATTTGTTTTTTGCGTAATGGGTTGAAATATCAACAAATTAATTTGTGGGTTTTGAAGGTAATTGATCAAAGCTTTCATATGGTACGTAAAATATTAATGATGGTTATTGATTGTATTTTTGTGCTTTGTTCGTATGTTGTTAATTAAACTTGTCTTATGTCACGTGCGTCCTAATTTAACGTCAGAACGTATGCGAAGATGAAATATAGTGTATTGTAATAGTAATGCAACTGAGTTTCGAGCTTAAGGTCTCATCAGTGCTGATGGCCTGGTGACTGACGAAATCTCAGCACGGATACAGAAAGCTTGGTTTGCTTTTGCCTATGGCGCAGGCGAGACATCCGTTTGCTAAGCAAAGGATGAGTGTACTGTTCAGCAGTTCGCTCCGTCCTATTGTACGGATGCGAAACATGGCCTTTATGAGTAGAGGACTATCGTAGGTTACTGGTTTTCGATCATCAGTATCTTCAAAGCATTGCTCGTGTATCCTGAGGCAACCGTATAAGCAATGCTGTCGTTACGAAACGAGTTCTAGGTGGGGATGGCAAATCAATAGATGAAGTGGTGAAACTTCATCAGTTGAGGTGTTTTGGACATGTGTTGCGAATGTCTAACCACCGACTGCCTCGACGAGCTATGTTTTGCAGTGTGGGAGTAGGTTGGAAGAAAGCTAGGAGCGGCCAGATCAAAACATGGCGGAAATCCATGTAGTCTCTCACAAGTGGACTGAGTCATGTTGGTAAATGTAGGCTACGTGATTGGGATCCGCGAGACGAAAGTCACCAATGGTTAGAGACTTTGAACGACATGGTTCGAAATCGTTTGCAATGGTGCAAGCGCTTCCATTCTTTGTGCTCTCTCATATCCTAATCTTCTGGATTCGTCAACACCTCTACCTTTGTCTTTCTAACCTTATCTCACTGAATTATACTTCTTAAATAATATCTTCAAACCCTAGTCTTCTTCATTACCATTAATACCTGTATTATCTCTATCACTATGCGATTTGATTTGACATTTGCGTCTATGTGCTAATGTGGTATGGCAATCTGAGCTAATGTACATACGTACGAGGTTCTACGTCGCAACTGATTGTCGAGCTTAAGGTTGATAAATGAGATTATTATAACTATTTGGCTGTTTTGACGAAGGTATCAGAAGTCGGTCGAAACACGTGATCATGTGCATAAATCATGAACCTGCTTCACGGATTCCATAACCCGAATGGCTTATGACAACCTACATCACTTGTGGCGTAGGCGAGAACTTCCTTAGGCAACTGAGAGATGAGCTCACTGTTCAGTAGTTTGTTCTATCTTGCTTTAAGGTTCCGGAGCATGCCCGCCGGTAATATAGGGTATTCTTGGGTAACAAGTATTCGAAGATGGGTGTATATGAGACACTGATTGTTTATTTTTGTGCCATCAAGTCAGCGATTCCGAGGTAAGAGGTAGAGCAGTAGGTAGGTATGACAAATCAATACACGTGGTAATGAGTCCTTATTCCGACTGTGGTTGCCACCTTGATGTGATGGTTAGGCTTCCCTATCATGATGAGACAACCGAACTATATTGTCTAGAGCAGGTTGGTCGGAGAGCGGTGAGCCTAGAAGGACCAACATAAAAGCGTGAAGTTGTACCCGTAACTGTAGATGGCTGTGACAGCAGTATGGAGTTTACCTGGAAAAACCAGCATGTGCAGAGACCCTGCCTTCTTACAACGGAACGGAGGGGTTAGAAAAAGTCGATCTTGAGAATGTCACACGTTCACTTCCCATAAAAAGGCCGTGCGCTTCAGTCCTCTAGCAGTTGTCTGTTGGGCTCTGCGGTCACGCTCTCAGTTCGCCTAATCCAACGCTAATCGGATTTTATTTCCGTGTTACTCAAGAGTTACCCTCCCACAGTTTGAGCCATTAGGAATAGACACCCGCCTTCATACTCGCAACAGCATACGAGAACGAATCGTTCACGTTTCCTACACCTTCTACAAACCGTCTTATCTTCAAACATCACCCTTCTCGCGTTGTTTGATCACCTGACGCCGCTGATGCAAACGACTCGATTGCACGAAACGTCGTTCTAGGTCTCGTGAAACCACGCTGAAAACTACATGTTGGAGCTTTTAATTTCTCGAACTTTTTACCAAACAGGAAAACAGGCTTCCTCAGCTAGTACTGTAGAATCTCTCGCCATTGCCGTCTGCAGCTGCTTCTCTATAACGCACATAGGGGATTAGGTGAAAAAGAAAAGCACGTGTTGTCGTTGCTCAAACAGCAGATAATAGTTACTGTCAAATATGCTGTACCACAATATCGAGTGTGCCAGACCATTGACCACATTACATATTCAGCGATAGAATCTGATCAACACTTGAAAGTAGAGAACATGACATTGGTTACTGTTCAGTGCACTTCTGGTGCATTTTCACCATGCTGGATTAGATGAAGAGTGAGCGATTGAGTTCAACTGTTCCACAAACTTCTCATGTGGATCTGTGGTAGTGACGATGTAGGGGTAAAGCAGTGACATTTTAATCAAATACAAATCTGAATGAGTTTGAATGGTGAACGTTAGAACAATGGTGATAATAAAAACAATAATAGTCATACAAATAATTACAATGCCGAACTCTGATAAGACTGAGTGGTGACACTACTCCTCAAACAGATTTAATTACTCTGTACATTCGAACATAGTAGGTGATTTAGATCACCTGATTTCCATGATTGAATAGGTACGCAGCTGAAATCAAGAAGATTGGAATGTTTGCATGAGTAGAGAGGAGTTCAAGAAAGTCTAAAATTGAATGTTTCTGATAGAATCTGTAATCATCAAAGAATCTATTTGTATGTTCATTTGCAGATCTGTTTACTAGATATTCCTACATGATAGAGTTGGCTTCCACATTGGTAACGGCACACGGTATTTCTCACTTGAAATTCGAGCACCTCATTCAATGAGTAACTAGTTGAATGTGTATAATTTTCCAATAAATCTTCCTAGTGTAGTTCAACGGCATGGACCAACTCGTATATTTCACAGACTTTTCTTTAATCATGACTCTATTTGGTTGACTGACTGAAGATGTTTAGTGAATGTTTGAGTTATCACAAGCGTACCATTGTTGGTACAACTACGTGGTCGGTTTCTAATCAATGTTTAGCAATAGAAGAATGCGAATGATAACTGCATACTGTCATAGTACTCATGAAGCCAGGTTTTCTTCTGTACAAAATTATAGATAGTGTATTGATCCAGAGCAGTAATAAATGCGTTATTCGATGCAATCAATAAATCAGATTACGGTGTTGGTTCATGTCACATTATATATTGTAAGATATATGCTGTTTAAAATGGCCTTACGTGACATTTTATCATTTCGTTCATTGTTTCTCACGGTAAATTAGATGCAATGGGAAACTGTAGAAGCCTTCTTGTGTATCATTCAAATCATACAAATCACTTGAAACCAGTAAACAATAACTTGATTCGTGATGATTTGGAACGACAGCGTTTTGATGTTCTTGACTAATTTGAAATCAGTGTTAAGTGACGAATCAGAAGAAGGTGAAACTTCTGTTCATGGATTTTACAACACAAACTGAATACTATCTATTGAAAAGCGAGCTATTTTCGCAGATGTTTCCTATTATGCATATAATCTAAATAGTAACGAAGAGATTTCACACAAAATGTCACTGAGTCGTGATCGTCTGGTCCTGCTGATTATGTGTTGTAACTGGCGTGTATCACGTTCTGTCAGTTCGACTGATTCGGCAACAATTTTCATCAATATGATATAACCTGAACATAACAATAGTAAGGTATGGATTCTGAAACTGAACTTGATATTTTCAAATACACTGAGCAATGCGAACAAGAAATGTTTAGTGATTTTCGATGATATCATAATGGGTAGGACGTTTTATTTCTGACGTGATGTGATCGAATACAAGTCATTTTCATTTTGAAGTGATTGGATTCAGCCGAATCTACTCTGTGACTGATTGAATCCTTGAGAGTAGTGAGTAAGTAGGTTTACAAATTTTTAGGTCAATACAAAGTGTAGATTGAATAAGGTAACTAATCTAACACATGACGCCTAGGTATATAAGCAAACAATGAAAGAACGAATATCATTTTAAAATGAATGTCCTGAGCGTAGAAGTTTTCGAAATGCTGGTCGGTTATCTATGCTCCATTAGGTGTATCAGGCGTAAGTAATTAATGATTCGATCCGAAGAAAACTTATCGATCACATTGATATTCCTTGACTACTGAATGTATAATAATGATGGTCAAGTATGTTGACTATTGTTAATCTTAAGCTGATTGACAGATTGTATGTAGTGACAAGAGTTTTGAGTTGAGAATAAGAGAAACAATCGTGGAATTATCAATAGACTCTACTGAATGAGAAATTAATGAAAACTCCTAAAATACACTGACATACATTGACTTTATTGTAAAATAGACTAGTTAGTGATCCATATATTACTCCGACTGCAGACCCTTCGGGTCTACTGCCGGTTTCTAGCCCAGATAAAGGAGGAGGTTTGGACATGGGATTGGCGACCGCATTCCGTCAAGAAACTAACTTGCCAAAAAAACGCTAACCAGAACAAAGAGTTCAAGACATTTGAACTCGTCGTCGCATGATGAAAGCCGAATTCCTGCGGTAGTCAATTGGGCCGATGCCCCTTCTCACAACCACAGCAACCATTCATTCAGGTTCATAGAACGTTCGAACATTGTGGTAGACTGGAAGACTATTTCAAGTTGTGGCAGAAATGAA